CCCACGGAGGCCTGGCGCGAGGGACACTTCAAAGATATTATCACCAAGGTAATAGTTAGCTGGATTTAAAAGCGTATGTGACAGTTTTCAGACGTAGCAAACGAGCAACCGTCCATCCGATTTCGCAGAAACAGTGAAGCGAACATTGTTCATTGTATTTGAAATTGCAAACAGAAGGGGATGAACAAGTTATTGATATTTCTCGTTTTATATGTGTCTCCTCGTCCGTCAAATCCATTTATAAGTTTTTACTTCCTTGGCGTCTCTAGTTAAATCTCTAGTTAAATCTACGTACATCTATTAATGTCAAGTTCGTCTTCATGACATTCTTCATTAAATCTTTCTTCTTACTAATATTATAAATACGAAAGTATAGATGGATGGATGGATGTTTGTTAGAGTTTGTAGCCTAAACGGCTAAACGGATCTCGATGAAATTTGGCATAGATGTAGAACATAGTCTGGAAGAACACATAGGCTTTTTACATTTTTTTTAATTCCACGCAGACGGAGTCGCGGGCGAAAGCTAGTACAATATAAATGAGACCTTTATATTTCAGGTGGCAAACATGGAACTGTACTACAAAGCGATCCAGTTCTATTTGGATTACAAGCCGTTGTTACTGAACGACCTGCTGCTGGTTCTCGCGCCGCGCATGGACCACACGCGCGCTGTCAACTTCTTCACCAAAGCTGGCCATCTTCAGCTGGTGAAGGCCTACCTCCGTTCTGTGCAGAGCTTGAACAACAAGGCCGTCAATGAAGCACTCAATTCACTGCTTATTGATGAAGAAGATTACCAGGTATGCTTTTATATTTTTAAAATTGTTTGTGATTAATTCCTTAAATTATTATTTTAACTCCTCATATTTCATATTGCAGGGTCTCAGGACATCGATAGATGCATTCGATAACTTCGACACCATTGCCCTCGCGCAACAACTAGAGAAACACGAGTTGACTGAGTTTAGAAGGATCGCCGCATATCTGTATAAAGGTAATTTTAACAATTATTTCTGGTATCATTGTTATTTAATAAATTGTAACGGCTACATTTTCAAAGATAATGGTGTATTTTATTTCTACATAATTAAAAAAAAAAAGTTTAATGCTCCGATATAAAGCATTTGTCCTCCTACATCCACTTAATATTAATTGAAATTGTAAATCATGACTATGGGACTTCCCTCATGTGGATATACTATGACGGCTAATATAAATGATTCCATCATGTGCAGTTTTTATTATTTTGGCGACTCCAGGTAAGTTGTACCCATTCCCTGGCGGCACGCCCATGGATTGTGCCAATCCTTTGAAGGCAAAAATGCAGGATAATAATGTTACCAATATTTGTATCCAGGTAACAACAGATGGAAGCAGAGCGTGGAGTTGTGCAAGAAGGACGCGCTGTACGCGGACGCGATGGAGTACGCGGCGGAGTCTCGCCAGTCCGATGTCGCTGAGGAGCTACTTAACTGGTTCCTCGAACGCGACAACTTTGAGTGCTTCTCTGCATGTCTCTACCAGGTACAGTGACCATATACGTCCACAGATATATAATAAACCGATTATAATAGTCCGAATACGACTAAAAAGGTTAAACAAATGTTTTTTGTGTTATAATTTTATTGATTTATGAATTTTACTGTGGGCAACTATTTTAGAACAACATATAAAATTGGTGCAAAGATAAACTTAGGAATAAACTAAATATAACAAATTTTGCTTGTATTAACTTTATACCGCCTTTATTAGTGAGATTGTAAGTGTATAAATTCATTTACAAATGAAAGATACGATAGAATGATATTTTTTGTAAACATAGTGATCTATACTAAAATTATAAAGAGGAAATATTTTAAAAATTCTTTCACTTTTAGAAAGGTATTTTATCTGTAGGCAACATAGGCTATATTTTTTTATTTCACGCGGACGAAGTCGCGAGAGACAGCTAGTATCTTATAAAATGTGATACTACATGATTATTTATTTATTTTTCAGTGTTATGACTTATTGAAACCCGACGTAGTCATTGAATTGGCATGGAGGCATAACATTATGGACTTCGCGATGCCATTCCTAATTCAAGTGAGTTTTGTCAACACACCAGTTTATGAAATTATTTTTTTAATTACACTTACATATATTAAAATATTTTGTATGTGCAGACTGTTCGCGAACTGACGACTAAAGTGGAGAAGCTAGAGGAGGCGGATGCTAAGCGCAGCACTGAGAGCGCCGAGCACGAGGCCAAGCCCGCTATGATGATGGAGCCACAGCTCATGCTCACCGCCGGTAACTATTTTAAAAACATTATCTATCCTCTATGGTTTCAACTGTCACATGTAGTATGACGTTTAACCATAAAGCTCTTAAATTAAAAAAAAATGGATTAAAACGTTTTCTGTGGTTCTAATACTGATTGGATACTTTAGTATAATTATTTGTTTTGCTGATTGATTCGTATCTTCTATTCCTATTGAACTTTTGAACTTTTGTTTTAGCTATAATACTTAGGTTATATTTTACGGTAATATATTATAGTACTACTTTAACATTATAGTTGTCATAAATGCGTAAATTTAGATGGGTGGATGTTTTTTAGAAGGTATTTCCAAATGACCTCAGCATAAACAAATAAAATTTATCATAGACGTAGAACATAGTCTAGAAGAATGTAAAGGCTAACTTACCTTTTTTATTGCGGCATAGTCGCAGGCAAAAGATTTTATTAAAAAAGAAACACTTATCGCATTTTGCCTTACACTTATATATGTTTTCAGGTCCGTCTATGGCATACCCAGGTGTGGCGGCGCAGGCGTCCCCGTACGCGTACGCGGCGCAGGCCCCGTCGCCGGCGCCCTACCACGGCTACGGCATGTAGGGAACTGCCGCCCCACGCGCGTGGGGGAACTTCAACTTCTAACTCACAGGAACTACGCCCCGGGAACACCTGTACATAGACACGTCTGTCCCGATACCGCGTTACTAGCTTCAGTTCCATCCTCTATGCACTTTGTCTACGCTTTTTCAATAAAAATATATAGAAAGTTGTTCGGATCCCTATTCCCTTTATATTTTAATTTCGTGGCCTAATTTGTTTGAAAGTGCATTGAGGTACAGGATGTTTCATGTTGTGGTGTAAACGATATAGTTCATATAGTTCTCATCGTTGCTACGTTCATTGTGTAGTTATTGATGTTACATACTTTTAATTCCATTTCAAATATAATAGAGTAAATCGTCTTAAATCATAACATTTAAGGATACGTAAGTTTGAAATTTATGGTATTATTTATTAGACAATTGTCAGCTAGTTATCCTATTGAATATCGGCTAATTAGAATTTGAAGTTTATGATTGAAATATTAAAAGAATATATAAGATTTCATGTCCATGGTATCATTAGTGAGTCATAGATAAATTTAAAGAAGTGTTACTATTCTATAACCAGTTTTAATGGCATATAATTAGTGCGGATAAACCGTATTACGCGTAATCTTTTAGAAAAAAGATGTGTAATAGAAAAAAACCTGATTTTAAAGTAAAACAACTAACGATAATTAAATGTCTGGAAAACATCGAGATGGTGTAAAACAGATCTTTTTTCTAAACAGACTTTTTAAATATGATATAGCGAGCAGCTGAGACCAAATTTTAGATTTGTCAAAGCTTAGTTGAGCCACTAGGTGCATAGATCATATATTTATGTATATAGTGGTTAGTTGTTCAAAAATTAAAAAAATAGCTACGAATGTTTAAGAAATTGCTTTATATGGCTTTCATTTCCAGTGCGACAATTTAAAAAGAATACACATTTTGTGGGACTTATATTTTACTTAAAACTTTCAAATTCGATAAAAAAATACGTTTATGATGTTTTAAATTTAAGATGTTTCGGTATGAAATGTACAAAAATATACCGCCGTTTTCATTGAAATTTATATGTATATAATGTTTTCAGTTTATGAACAATTATAGGGACAGTTGAATTGAAATTACACGCAATTCTTTAGTTGCATTAATATATGATTATTATTAAATATAATTTGATACGATTAGGTTTAGTTTAGGCAAATAGAATATATTTTAAATGTTTGCGAACATTGTACGAGAGTTGATCACAGAATTTGCTTTAGTTATGTTAACACACCTTGATATGCCTTCATTAGATTTAAAAATATTCGAGTAAAATGGCTTTCTTGGGGTCGATTTGATAGCAAAAAATATTAATGATTAGTATTTTATTCTGAAAACCCCAGAATGAGCGTAGTATTCTAAAACTCCATATACTTTTATGAGTGTAATAGTATTTTGTGAGTTTAATATAGTTGATGTTTAAATTTGTATTCAATCATTCCTTTCATTAACGATTTTATAATAAAACGCAATGTTATTTTTTTTGCGTTTCTTGTGTTGTAAGAAACAATTTATTAACTTGAAATAATAATTGTTTATTGATTACATTATTAGTATTGTATTTATTCATGTATGATACTGTTTCTCTGAATTTTATTAAAATAAGATTATATTATATGAATAAATAAATGATGCTCTTTTATTTTTCCTACCGAAAGAGGACTATGAATTGAAAGTGCGCCAAAATAGACGAAATAGACCGGCAAGTCCTTAAAGAAGAAAGTTAATTGCAACAGTATTAAAAAGGAAAACTTCAGTTTAGTGGAATCGTGGCCAAGCGCTGGTTATGTTATGTTAAAAAATAAATGCTGAATGTACTTTTTTAATAAACCATGCTAAAAAATGACCCGGTAATGTTATTCGCGATGACGACAGATGGTATCGCAAAAATCAAAAGGAATCTTTTATTCGTAACATACTATAACTTTCACTTTGTCGGACTTTTTTCCCGCTGCCTACCCCCTATGTTCAAAAGTACAGGTTTAATAGTTTTTTTTAAGTCAAAAGTTTGAGTTTTTCAACTGTGGTTTACATCATCTGTAATTTGATCTCTGGTTTACCAATTGTCATTTGTCATTAAATGTCATTCATTCTTTTGACTTTGAAAGTGAAGGAATTTTGACGTGTTTTGCACTTTACCATGACATATAAACGAAAAAAATACCACCACGGTGACACTCATCTAAAAAAGCGATGGAGATTGAGAAATAGAAAGAAGGATCTTGATGAAATCGATAGCGATTTAAAGGAGGGTAAGTTTATTTATGTGCTTGAAATTTGAAAAATCACGTGCGATGCATTGGGATTTTAGGTTATGTACTAGGTTAATAACAAATAATATTTACTTTACAGAAAATGCTGAAAAATTACTAAATCAAAACGTCGATTTGGATTTACCTGGTGCTGCTCAGCATTATTGTCTTCATTGTGCACGTTATTTCATTGATGAACAAGCATTATCTGAACATTTTAAAACAAAAGTACACAAGAGAAGATTGAAAGCATTAGAGCTAGAGCCATATAGCATAGAAGAATCGGAACGCGCCGCTGGTCACGGTAGTTTTAAGTTTGCTAGTAAAAGAAAAATAGTTACACAAAATAATAACACAGATGTAATAGACAAGGATGGTGATGTTGTGTTAGACGACAGTACAGCAAGTAAGAAAAAGAAAATCGACGAAGATGATACGTAAGACAATTCTAAGCAATTTATTAAAATTAAGAGACTACAATCTACTAAATGTTAGATATTCAGCTCTATTCATAAATGGACCAAAAGCTACTGATACATTTGTTTATATCACCCCACATGTCGATTTTCCCGAGACTATAAAACATAAAGAATTAATTCAAGCGAATCTAGCCAAAAGAAAATCAAATATAAATTTATCAAAGGTTGAAGATCTATGGCTAATATATGAAGATCTCAAAAATAAAAGAAATGAACTTGAAGAAAAGAAGATGGAGGTTGGTAATGAATTGGCAAATTTGTTCAAAAATAATCCATCAGATAAGAATATAGAAAAATTGAAAATACAGTCCAGTCTGTTGAAAGAAAATATTAAAAAGTTAAAGGTCCCATTTTGGTCAGCTGAGGAAGCTGCCATAGTAGAATCATTAAAATTACCAAATGTTTTGCATCCCAAAACTCCGAGCCAGGAAAACAAAATTATCTTTTTGTATAAAACTCCCCCTGACAATGAGAAACATCATTTGAAGTTAGGACAAGATAATAATTTAATTAAGTTTACAAATAAGGAGAATTATTATTTAAAAGGTGATGCAGCTATCTTTGAATTAGGTGCAAAGTTTTATTTCAGTAAAATGTTAAAAGATAATGGATTTATCCAGTTCTCAAACCCAGATTTTGTTAAAAGTTTAGTTATTGAAGGATGTGGGCATGACCACACAAATCCAAGTCATACATTTATCATACATCATAATGAAGATTCAAAAGTAAATGTTGACAATCGCTTGCATTTAACAGGGGGTGGATCATTATTTTCCTTCTTAGCTTATTATGCTAAGAATGTATTGCATAGTAATGCATTACCTTTGAAGTATTTTTCAATGGGTAGGCAATACAATCCTGCTCATGACGAAGAAATAGGCCTATTCAATGTTAGCCAATCATCAGTTATATCAATGTTTATTGTGTCTAGAAATGACAAAGAATGTGATACAATACTTGAAGAAACAATAGAAATGATCAAAAATATTTACAGTAAAATTGGTTACCCTTACCGATTGAGTATTGTTTCTGCTGAGAATTTACAAATGTGGGAATCTTTGAGAGTTTCTATTGAAATGTATTCTACTTCTTTAAAGTCTTACATTGAGATAGGAAATATTTCTGTTAGTGGTGATTTTATAGCAAAGAGATTGATGTTTACCTACACTGATCAGAAACAGAGCAAATATCCGCATATAATATCTGGTACAATTTTGAATGTACCAATGTTTTTAGGTTGTGTTTTGGAGCAGAATGCTGAATTTTCCTTACCACCAGAATTCACAGTGAACAATTGGTGTATTCAATAAAATAAGTAGTTGTAAATATGAATTTTATTAGAAAAAAAACAATGTTTAAAATCTCTTTGTATCACAACATAAAAATATTTCTTTACAAGCTTTTTCTTACATAGACAACATGTATATTTTATTATACACTTCAATATTTCTTTCACAATAAAATCATTGTTGATGTGATTTTTTGTTTATTTATACATGTATAACGCCACAAACAACTTGAACAATACATTTAGTTGCGCAGAAGTCGATTTTTGGGTCTTTTTGGCGGGGCAAGGGGGGATGCGTGCGCGCGCTCTCTTGCTATTGGTTAATTAGTCGGCCTTTGCGTCCTGCTTCTTTCCCCATGTTCCGTTTACTCCCGAATACACTTATCTCCAATTTTATTGGCCCAATTTCGCTGTTACTTATTTTCGGTAATAATTGTTTATAATTTTTTCTATTGTTCTTATTCTTGAGTCTCATTTGTCTATTTTTGTTAAGTTTTATTTGCTTGTTATTGTTTTGAATTTTTGTGTTGAGTATGCCACGAAAAAGTAACATTGTTCTAAAAAGACAAGTCAGGAAAATAGTATATGATGTATATTGTTTCATGAAACAAGTATCATCTAAAGAAATTGCACAAGCTGTTTATGCATGTCTGTCATGTTCTTAAAGTTTAAAATTGATTTTTTTCATTCCTTATTAATACTAATACTCAAAATAGGTCAATTATTTTGTCTAAAAGTGTACGTTCGCGAAGCTTCCCCCACTACGCCGCTTTTTGTTCAAGAAGTTTGCCGGGCGTTATACAATGTCACAATGTTCTATTAAATAGTAACTAAAAACACAATTTCTACTTAAATGCTAACCTTAAAATCACTTCTTACCCAAGTTGGTTCCAAGGGATCTATTGGGGATTTCATACTCATCTCAATTATATCCATTTCCCCGGTTTTTGTTAACAGAATTATGGTATGTGTTCTGCAAATTGACAATTTTTATGTAACTAATTAGTGATTTTGAACCAATCTATTATTTTAACATAAAATGTAAATATTGAAAATTGGTAACTTTTATAAATATTGTATTAATTTATATATTTTTGAAGTGTCTCCACTTGAAAATTCATGAAAGAAATTAGAATAAGTCATAAGGATAATCTTACCTTGTACCATATCTTGCCTTTGGTATTTTTACAAAAATTGAGCTTAGCTCTTTAAAAATTTGTGGCCTTCGTTCTTCCAATTGTGGATCGGGCAAATTACTAAAATTTAATATTACTTTTTTACATATCAGACACCATTTAAAGAAATAACAAATTATTACCAGCATATACCTTTTGAATTCATCTTAGTAAATAAAAACATAATACATTGAATAGGTAATATATTTTTTGGACATTTTACCTCTTTTCAGATTTCAACACAGCTATTAATTCTTCAATTAACTTGTCTTTGTTATTTATTTTCTTATATTTATTGCAAGCATCTTGTAATTTACACTTTCCAGCCTCCACTTTGGTTAATGGCTGATCAGGGAGACTATTACTAAAGCCTAAGTATTGATCATGCCATTGTTTTAATTCATTATTTCCATTATTGTAGGTCTGTACAGTAGGTATTACATTACTGAAAATAAGAATTATGTTAAAAAGTGTGAAAGGTTTACCTTGTAAATGTTTAAAAAGCACCTAAAATGTACATAAACTTTTATTGCATCTAGTGTACCATGTTACATTACGGACAATAGGTAGTTTTAAGAAATACCACAAATGTATAAAAAATTAAAATTATACATTACATTATTACACACCCAAACTCAACAGCAACTAATACAAATTCATTGCATTCTTGAAAATGCTGTTTCATAGAATCAACAAAACTAATTAATTTTATATCACCCTTAACATAGTTTTCAACAACTTTACCTCTACCTGAAAATAAAAATTGATTTGGCAAAAACATTGATAATAAAAAATCTCTAGTTTTAGCTTCCTATTAATATGAACACACCATCACCAACAAACCTCACTTTTAGCATTATCCTTATGTACTCCAGGCAAATTAAGCAGTAGTCCTATTTTTTTGTTATAAGTAGATAATGCAAGCCAAGTTCCCCCTTCACATCCAGTTTGTAAATCTCGCCCTAAAAGTTGAGAAAATGATACAAAGTACATTGTTGTAGTTCATTAATTGTTACCTATGATAAATTTTCTTGAAACTCGTTGAAAACCTTTACAAGAAATCAACATACCTCCATAAATATTAACATCTTCCTCCCAAGGGCTCATGTTTTGTGATGGCCTGTCATAAAATTCATCTCTGTTGGATATAAGTATTAGTTTATATTCACTGTCGGCATCATTGGAGCCTACATATATAAATACTATACACATTTTGATTGAGATCTCTCAATTACAACAAAGAATTTTCGGGTGATAACCGATAACAGTCGTTATCTATTCTAATGAAATCAAGCATAATTGCACTGATAAGGCATTTAAAGTTTTGCCAAATACCAAAAACCTATACATATTATTTGATGTAATATATTTCTTTTTCATGCGTCTTGCGAAGGATTAATATTTTTAGTATTACGGTTAAAAATTGTTTGTTTTTTAGTTAGATAAGGGAGATAAGAATTGTATCTGTCACTGTCATGTGGGAAATAATTAGACTTTATGACATGTAGGTATAAAAGGACGCGTACAACTTAGTAAAAGTGAGTTATTACTGTTTATAAATTATACTTATTGTTAAAAACCTAAATTACAATTAAATATATGTAGTTCTCACAACATTGGCAATTATTATAATTAATTTATTCTAATTTTCCTTTTTGTGTCTACTCTGTGTCTTTTGTCTGCTGTCAGCTGTCAATTCCAATTTTCTATTTGTTTACGTTTGCGAACCAAAGTTAAAATTGAAAAAATAAATGTGTAAAGTTGTTACAAAAAGCATATCATAATATCGGTTAATTTATAATTAACACAAGTAAATAACTAAAATGGAAAATCTGAAAAATATTTGGAAACCAGAATGTGAGTACCTGTAGTGACAATTAATAATCAGTTTACGAGTAAATAAAATATCTAAAACCCTTTTTTTATCGACAGTATACCGTATTCAATTAGAAGCACCAGCGCCTAAACGATTAATTTGTGAAAATTGTGAGGACCGTCCTGAATTTTATGGTAAAGAGTACCATGGTATTATAGGACATAAGGAGGCATCGCTTTTACTCGAGAATGAGCCCAACGGAGCGTTCCTAATTAGAAAAGGCAATCAGCACAATGAATTCTATACTTTAACTTGGAGGTTTGTTAGATTTAAATATACTTAAAAAAGACATGTTTCGTGTTTAAAATCTTCTTAATTTTTTAATGAAAGAATAAGAAAACAACATTCATAGTTGAATGAGATTCAAATTAGAGAAATTGTACTAATATTTTAAAAGGGTAAATTATGGCAATCCACACAATATGTAAAATCAAATATTACTTTTTATTTAATAATAAAAATACTATGTCTTATTTATGTATTTCAGATTCAATGATAAAATCCATCACTACAAGCTTTATTATGATGGAACACATTATATTAAAGATAAAAGATATGACACTATATATGACCTGGTAGCTGATGGCTTGATAACATGTCACATGGAAATCAAAGCTCACCATATTCTTGAGATGATAAATTCTAGAACAAGTTACACCGATAGCCCTTATGTCACACTAAATAGACGGAAGATGAATACATTGTCACAGATGCATAAGTAAGTATTATAAACAATAGCAAAACATAAGCAAGTATCTTTATATTAAAAGATTTTTGTTTATAGTCCAATTGGCATTGACTAACCTAGTAAATGAGATGGAAAACTTAATAGACTAAAGTTTAGATTGTTATTTGTGTATCAAAACAGGTTAATTGATCTCTATGAAATTTGGTTCAAATATTTGGAAGGATACATAGGCATACTTGTTAAGTTTTTTTTAATTCTGTTGAGAAAAATTTACTTTTATTTTGGGAAGTTGGACAAAAAGGTAGTATAACTTTAAAAAAGTCTTTTTATTTGTTATAAATCTGCACTGTCTATATCTAATAGGCTTAATTTAACATGAGTTTTCTATGGAAAATCCTGTACAAAACCATATTTCATCAATTCAATAAAAAAGTGAGGGGTTGAAAAGAAATTTTATAAACTATAGGTTTTATTTACATTTTGTCTTCTTTCAGAGCATCAAATAGATCAAGTCCAATCATTAATAGATTGGATGCAACACAGTCTGATGTTACTGTGAAAAAGTTGAACTATGATCTCACACCAACTATAGAAGATATTCCATTATTGTACAAATACTCTAAGTCACACACATTCAAAGTTCACACATTTAAAGGACTTAATTGGTGCGAATTGTGTGCAAACTTCCTATGGGGTTTTACTGCTCAGGGTGTAAAATGTGAAGGTATTTATGCAACCTTGTATTTATTTTACAATTGAACTATAATCCCAAAATATGTAGTGGATTACTTTTTAATAATACTGTCATATTAAGTAATTAAGTAGTCTGAAAGAGAGCCTGAAACTGAAAATATAAAATCCAAGCCTAGGGTGTTACAAATGGCTTCTTTATTAAATAAATTTTAATGATCATAAAGAAATTAATTCTAAGTTGAGAAGATTAGCAGAAATTAATTTAAAAAAAAATTAAACTTCTTGTTTAAGATTGTGGCTTCATAGCACATTCGAAATGTTCGGAGCGAGTTCCCAACCATTGTCTGCCAGACTTGAAGAAGCTCCGCGGTGTGTTCGGTATTGATTTGACGACGTTACTGAACGCTCACTCCAGTACTTTACCTTTTGTCGTACGAAAATGTGTGAATGAAATTGAAGCCCGAGGCATGGACTCGGAGGGTATTTACCGTGTGTCCGGATTTGCTGATGAGATTGAAGCATTGAAAATGGCCTTTGATAAGGGTATGTATGAAATTCTAGCTTCGATCGGAAAATAAAGGTTGATTACGAATGTAAATTGAAAAAAAAAAAGCATTGGGAGATTATGTATAAGGTGAATTTTAGGACAATTTAAACTCTTATTAGAAAAGGATGGAGGAGGAGAGTTGGATTTTAAATTTACCATAATATTTTTTAATCGATGTTTTGAATTGAAAAAAAAAAATCGTTGCAAAGGACATATTTTATTTTGCTTCAGATGGCGAAGCGACGGATTTAAGTGTTTACAGTAATATAAATGTGATAGCAGGTACTCTAAAATTATATCTCCGATTACTTCCTGTGCCGCTCATTACGTACGAGGTGCATCCCAAGCTCGTAAGTGCCATACGTAAGTATCTAGAAATATATTTTTTTAATTGATGTAATCTGGAATTTGGGTATTTGTTTGTGTTCTAAGGGTGGGTAGATACCATTGATATGATCTAATTCAAAATATTTTTTTATCTGTTTTACATTTTTTTTACTCATAAAGGCGGGAGGGGAGAGTTCAACCGCTCCCTATCGTCCCTGGCGACATCCAGGACTGGTCTATATGTAAAGCGCTTTCACCCACAAATATTTAGTGATATTCTGTGTTGTAGAAATGAAGACAACGAGTCTTCAAGTGACGATGCTCCGGGAGTGCTTGGACCTGCTGCCGCCAGCGCATTTCAACTGCCTGCAGTACATGGTCCAGCATTTACATCGGTATGTTCTTTCATAATAATTAACAATAAAGCAATATTGCCGTGAAAATATAGTATTAGAATAATTTGATACTTGTAATTTTTCTTACCAGCGTGTGTCAACTAGCGGAGGTGAATAAAATGAGTGCACACAACTTGAGCACGGTGTTCGCGCCCACTCTAGTAGCTACTCCACAGGCCATTTCTGACTTAGCGTCAGAGATACGAGCGCTGCAGACTCTCATAGAGTATTGTCCACAGATATACTACGGAAATAAGTAAATACAGTCGGTTCTAGCATTAGCGGAGCCCTGGGTACCCCTTAACTGCAATATAAAAGCCTGGACGTCCTTATATGCGCGATTTACACTTGGCTAGTACAGTTGGTCAGTAACACTCCGATGGGACAGTCAATTAACTGGCAGAGTGTGAATGCTAATAGGCCAATGAGTGTCTCTTGCCGTCGACTGTCCAACTGTTCTGGCCAAGTGTGAACGGGGTATTATGTCGCTTTTGGCGTCTATTTATGTTAAATGTATGGAACATGGCCATCGTTGCATTATTTTATATTTTTAAAGGAAATGTCTTCACTCTGTGGTAATTATGAGATTTACATACTTCAGAGTATCATGAGAATAGTTTTTTTGGAATATAAGTATTTTGGATAATCCAGAGACACTAATATTTATTAGTAAAACTGAATAATTTATACAATAATGGATAGCAATATCTCATATGATAGTAGTACCTAAGTTAATATAAAAATAAAGTCTGAATAAGGTTATAAGTTGATATATTCATCAATGTATTAAGTTTTTTTTTTATCGGAAGCTGGCAATTTCTCATAGACTGTGAATGAATGACATAATGTTTTCATAGAATAAAGTTGTAATGTAGTGTAAACCAGTGATTCCCGAAACTGTTCTATGCAGACCCAGTTTGATAATTTTTAGTACCTGGTACTTTTATCTTAACTTGAATTTAAACAAAATAGGTTTTTATAATAAAAATCTTATCGTCTAAATCTAATCTATCGTCATGGAACTAATTTACTTAATATATTTTTTTTTAATTTAAGCTGTGGATATAAAATATATTGCTTATGTATTCACATGTTATGTATTATGGTTTCTGTTATAGATTTAGTACTAATAGTCTGTTATATAAAATGTGAGCGTCATATGTCAAAAATTGTGATTTCGTCATACTTCTCTTGTAAGTAAATTAAAATGTAACATTTAAATTGCGTAAAACAAAATTGTAGACTTAAATAATATAATCCATGAGATTTTTTATACTTTTATATTTAACTTAAGCTTATGAATACTTAATAAACTGTATTATTTTTTTCTTTTCTTTTTAGGTTTACTGTTTTCTGTATCAGATGTGTCTGTTTGAAACTTTTTCAAATCGGCACAGAATAACACCTGAAACACAAGTTTTATGTAAAAACATTAAAAAAAAATCGTATATTCCAAATGGTTGAAATAAAGATGGGAACCAGAAATAATTTAGAATATGTCTGTCAAATGGTAAAAAAAAAAAATCGTGAACTGTGAACTTAATACCGGTAATCTGTGCCTTTAACTATTGTTTTATTAGTGGTTTAATAGCTGGGGTTCTTCGGAGATCTAGGCTGGCTGGAGTAATCCACGTCGTGTTCCTCACGCAAAATACGCGCTTGCCGTAGAGTTGCGGTAACTGTACCCCCTACTACTACTAGTGGTTTAATATAAATTGAATTTTTTATTTGAAACTTACAGTATGAGCCCAACCGGCCATGTCACCGTAAAGTTGTCTAAAATGATCACCAATCTCTGTATACATTTTATCAGTAACATTTTTCTTTCCCCTCAGATGTGGTAAGTAGTTGTGTGCAGCTATCTGATACACATGAGTGTCCACTGGTAATGCTTCTAGATGGTTTAGGGACATTAAGCATATGCAATCTGCTACCTGAAATAGTTTTTATAGATAGAATAAGAATCGGCATATTTTTTTATTTAAAGTTTGTTATTGTCCATGATTCTGTCTGTGCAGGTTTAAAAACAGTTCTAGAGATACATCGTAACAAACATCCATCTATACATTAAAACTTTCGCATTTAAAATAGCAAATATTTGTAATTTTACTAATATAACTCCTTAACACGGAGTTATGGAGGACAAGTTAATTATTATTTTAACCAAAATAATGTTACTAGGAAATTTAGTTTTAATTCACCCTGTCTTTACCTAGGTAGGAAAGTATACCATCTGATTTTTTGCTTATATGTATTTTCCCATTACAAAAATAACATTGTTTAAGATATTACCTTTGGCCCAATGCCACATAGTTTCATAAGTTCTTGTCTGGCTTCTTTATATTTCATGTTCTGCAAGGTGTCAAACCATTCCTCGCCACCCCATTCAATAATTTGTGCAGCTGACTTTTGTATAAACTTTGCCCGATAGCCAAAACCAAGTTCACGTAATTTTGCTTCAACCTAAAAAATTAACACTCAATTTCCTCATTTTACAACACATTATCTCATTCACTTTATAAAAGTATTATGAAGTTCCATGTCACTATTTAAATGTATGAAAGAGAAAAATCAATTTTTTCCATTTTGAACATTTCTATTATCCTTTACCTGTGATCCTGACAACTTGTTGACATCAGGGAAGGAATAATATTTTACACCATCATATTCACATATTTCTTCACCATAAAAAGTACATAACTTTTCTACCATACTTGATATCCTGAAATAAAATTGTGATCAACACAATAATGTGCTATTTACTTCAGTTTATTGAGTAATATTACCTTGATATATGATTATTTTGGCTGCAAATAAAAGAAAATAGATTCTCAACCGGCTCCTGGGCAAGCATTCTGATACCATAAAACTGTTTACATGCAGCCTTAAAAATTTCATCCTTTTCTGACCACTCATCATAATATTTCGTTAATGGGAGTTCCAGACGAAAATACTTTTTCAACATCGCCTCAAAATATTCATATTTCAGTTTATACATGTCTTTACTCGTTTTCGCTTTTATGTTACTTTCCGGAGGTTTTTTTAATGAACCAATAATTTGATAATGTAAGCAGTCTTCAGTGTGTTTCAATTTCCATACAGTTTTACTAAATACACCTGTCCACTCATCCTTGTCCTTATTATAGGTCCACCTAAAATAATTTTGCAATATTCTTTGTTAAAGCTCGATTTAAAAGTAAGATAAATTTTAAAAGTAACGTAAAAGTTACCTGAAACTTTGACCGCCATTTAGTGTACCAAGCAATTGTAGTTCATTCCGATTACAGAGTAATTTGTTCCAATTCATAGTGAAATAGATCAAATGTTTTATTTTAGGAATGTCGTATAATATGTTAAATATTGTGAATTGTTTGAAATTAAATATCAATAACAATAACAAATATCATTGACAGCTGACATATTTGTGATTGTCAATGTCAGTTGGTTGTCAACAGTCATAGATCATATATCACCTGACAGATCTTTCCTTGGATGGCTAGGGCTGCCGAATATAATTCACAGAGTACTTTGTAACATACTGAAATAGAGACCAATCTTCGGCCTAAAATTGGGTAACACGAAGAAAAGCGCCATCTGTATTTCATAG